CTAGCCCCTTAGTTTCCTACTGTTTTTGAGTCCCAGTCAAGAGGAAAGGTTCTGCTCTGCTATTCATTCACTACCATGATGTGCTGCCTCACTTGAAGCAACAGAGTCACTTGATCATGGACTATAATTTCCAAAACTGTGAGCCAAAATAAACTTTTTTGTTTTACAAGTTTTTCATCTCAGGTATTTGTCACAGTAATAGAATGCTGACTAACACAGAGAACAAATGTAACTTGCCCAATATCACATACTTGGCCACTGGTACAGCTAAAATTCACACAGGGATGGCTAACTTCTAAAACATGTTCTTTCAGTTTTGTTTAATTCAATTTGATTCAATAAAAATTATTTTTAAATTTTAATCTCTAATATCTGATTTTGGTTAGCCTTGATGTTGGGGATACCAAGGTAAATGATAGACAAAATATAGTCCCTTCTTTGAAAGGGGCTCACAGTTTCTCTTTGCCATAATTATGGAAGAGTCCGAATAATACATGGCCATTTAGGGATGTTAAAGAAATATTATTGTTCTGGGAGAAGTATTTACTAAATAACCACTGCAGTTCCTTCCCACCCTAGGATTTTATGAATATGAGTTCCTTGTGGTAGAAGAGATATACTCAGCACCACATAAAAATGAATAAATAAAATAAAGGTATTATGTCCAACTACAACTAAAAAAAATTTTTTTTTAAATCATATGGAGTAAGGGGCTGGGGTTGTGGTATCATTTGCCTAGCATGTGTGAGGCACTGGGTTTGATCCTCAGCACCACATAAAAATGGGTCAATAAAATAAAGGTATAAAAAATGTTGCATCTGTTTAAAAAAAAAACTTTAAAAAATCATATGGAGTAAGCATCTTTTAAAATATAAAAGTCATATCCCACTAAAATGGGATTACAAATTAAATTATTGTCAAGCCAAGCATGTAGTATATGCCTATAATTCTAGCTACTTGGGAGCATGAAGCAGAAGGATTACAAATTCAAGGCCAATGTGGGTGACTTAGACTTTACCTCAAAAAATGAAATGAAATAAAGGGCTAAGAAATATAGCTCAGTGTAGAGCATTTGTCTAATATGCAAGAAGACCTAAGTTCTTAGCCCAGTACTGCAAAAAAAAAAAAAAAAAAAAAAAAATTAGCTCTTGTCTTGGTCTATTCTTGCTGCTAAAACAAAATACCTAAGGCTGGGTAATTTCTAAAGAACAGAAACTCATTTCTCACAGTACCTGAGGCCAGACATCTGAGGTCAAAGCACCAGAAGCTGTGGTGTCTCGGGAGGACCCAGTCTTGACTCCCAAGATGGTGCTTTATTGCTGCATCCTCTGGAAGGGAGGAATGCTGTGTCCTCACATGGCAGAAGGGCCAAAGAGCCTACCTAGTTCCCCACCTTTTTTATAAGTGCTAATCCCATTATGAGTGCACTCTTCTCATGATTTCATCACCTCTTAGTACTACCGCATCACTGATGAAGTTTCAACACGTGAATCTGAAGGAGACACAGTAAGACCACAGAAGCTATTGTGCTAATTCTCGATACATTCTTCAAGAATTTAATTAGTTTGAGCCAAGATTCAGAAGAGGCTGACGTGCTTTTGGCAGCTACCATGACAAGGCGTATAGATCAGAGCCAGTTTTTTTTTGATTCTGGCTTGTCACTTAGTGCAAGTACATTGGACACATATCTAAATGTCTCTTGAATTCACATGTCCCATTTCCCATTTTAGTAAAATGGGATAATATGCTCAAACATAAGTATAGAATTCAGAACAGTGTCCAGTGATCAACAAAGTTACTTTAAAGTACAGGCTGAATCTTACTTTTGACTTAATAAGTTTTTTGTTTATCTGTTTGTTGGTTGGTTTTTGCTCTGCCAGGGCTGAACAGAGGACCTCACACATGCTAGGCAAGCACTCCACCCCTGAGTTATACCCCTGGACCAATTATTCATTGTTTAACTCCAATCTGCTGCATTCCACCTAAGAGGTCTATCTATGTGACACACCAATTCTGTTTAGAAATACTGATCCAAATGCTTTGTTTGCTTTATAAATATTACAGTAAATTCTGACAAACCTTACTAAGCAAGCAGTAGGTAATATTAAAGGTTTAATTATCCTACTATATGGTTTCATCAGTGTGGATTTTAGTTAAATTTGGTACAAAGAAATTGTTTAATTAACACTGTCCAAATAAACCTACTTCGGTTATCTCTCTTAGACCTAATACACTGAAGGTAGAAAAATGAAATCCAAACCTGTTTCAGTAACCTCTGTTTAGGAACTAGAGTAATCTATCGCTTTATGTTTTCACCTAAGTGTTGCTACTGAAGAGAACACAGGGATTTTCCCCCCACTGTCTATTACTGATTTTATAAAATTAACTTCTAACTTGTTTAAGATTAACTTCTAATTTGATACTTTGATTTGGATATTTTTTTATTTATAGTACCTATAATTTTAAATATTATTTACCTATAATTTTAAATATTATCTACCATTAAAGACATGCTTATAGTAAGGCTGATAAAATGTCAAATGTCTTAAAAATTGAGAGGAATTATATGAAAATCTAAGTTAGTTTTTAACAGTTAAACATAGTCCTGAGGCCAAGGCAGAAAGAAAAGCATATTGTAATCCTACTGCCCAACTTGAACCACAATAGAAAGGATTTCCATGGTGGTAAATTCAGAGACATTTATCTAGTATTTCTTTAACCTAAGAACACAGATCTACATAATGAGTGATATCTTCATGGACTTTTATAGGGGTGTAGAAAATTATTAATGATAATAGCATATGCTTATTATGGACTTACTCTATGCCAATATAACCTTAAAACAAATTTTACCAATATCAGGAATATAAAACTTTTAGCAGAACTGAGAAAACTGATTTCCTAATACTTAATTAGGCAGTTTTTCCATTTGACCTCTATACTTTCCTATAACTACTATATATGCAAGACAAATTGACCTGGGAATTACATACACATACACACATGCATATATGTGTAACGCTAACATACTGCACACAACTTCAGAAACTCACCTTTGCCAATACCAATGATCCTACTGAAAGAAAGAGATGAGCCCTTTAAGTAAATACACATGCTTTCATTAATTATTAAATTCACACAACATCTGTCAAGCTGATGATTTACTAAGCTTTGGTTGTCCTTACATATTTCTCACAGTCTATGATGCATAATTTTTCTAACTTATTGATGTCTCTTCCAATCACTATGTATCAGTGAGTACAAAAAATAAATTAAGTTGATCCTACAACAAAAACAAGTCTGAGATTTCAATTTAATATCAACCATCAAAAGTATGTTATGCACGCTTATAATCTCAGCGGCGTGGGAAGCTGAGTGAGGCAGCCAATTGCAAGTTCAAAGCCAGCCTCAGCAAAGGCGAGGTGATAAGCAACTCAGTGAGACTCTGTCTCTAAATAAAATACAAAATAGGGCTGGAGATGGGGTTCAGTGGTTGAGAGCCCTGAGTTCAATCTCCAGTATGCCCCCAAAAGGTATGTTATGAGTTAACTAAAAATACATATAATTTATTTCTATTCTCCTTTTATAATACATGTTCTGCTCTAAATGCTAATAATAATGTTGTTAAGGGCATCAAAACAACTTGAAGCCTGATGAAAAACAGTAGGCCCTAGAGATACAGTAATGCCACTAGATTTCAGCCTGTCAGAACATCAACAAACACTTAGGAAACCAGGAAACTAACAAGTTTTTTATTTTTTTCTTTCAATTACCTGACAAATCTGAATGAATATATTCATAGCCTAAATTGCCTTGAGCTGCTTTAGATTAAAAAAAAATGTATGTACCAAGCTATTCTCTTACTGCACACCAATTCCCCCAAATGCACAGAAACCTAAGTGTTGTCAAGGAATTCATTCAGGAGATCATGGTGCTCAGCAATTATCCAAATTGTGATCCTTCTGGTCCTCCCTTCTTCAGCTTTGGGCAGACCAAAAAGTCTGAATCAGTGGATCTTAAAATGCTTCCACAGCATCACCTGGGAACATGTTAGAAATGCATATTCTATTACAAAGATGTTCAATTAAGGAACCCAGTTGGTTGTGGACCTAGCAGCTGCACGTCAATAATTGCTGCATGGGTGTGGGGTTCTAAAAGACATCTGCACCTCTTCTACTGATTCCAGATGTGCATGCTGTCTGCATGTGTTGAAATATCACACTGAGCCCCATTAATATGTACAATTAATACATGTTAATAAAAAGTAACCTAAATTGATGAAAATGGAGTGATAGAATATGAAGTTTCCCAAAATGGCCTTACGGGGTTTAATGGATAAAGCTGCATTTGGTTATTTCTGTCCCCATGCTATCCAGCACTAAAGAATGACCCTAGAAGTCTCAAAAGGATATGGTGTGTGATGTTGCCTTGCAAAGGATGATGAGGGTAGTTTGGTGGAGGCTCAGGGTCTGATGGAGATCCCCCAATCTAATTCATACTGGCTATCATTTGCTACCTTCCTTACAACCAGTAAAATGGATTGGGGTTCTGTATTACGAGACTCCATGGCACTCAGAATACTCCCCTGGGATCTCATTCCCCAGTGAGGAGCATCTTGGGTTAACACTGCTGTCGTTTTCAGTTCACACTGCTGCAGAGGATTACAGCCCACCATTCTTCTCCACATTGTATTAAAACAGGCAATGAAGGGAGGAAGTGCTAAGGTCACTATATTTTTTAAACACACCTTGGCAAAACTGTCAAGGCCATTCCTAACCCATAAAATTTTTAATTCTTAAAAAACAATAAAAACGAGGAAATCTCGTCTCAGAGCAAGCTGCCATTTTGCTAAAAAGGCAGGAAAACTGCTAGCATCAGTATTACGTGCTTCTTGCTTAACACAGCTCCTTGGATGGAAGCAAAGGTTTTATTCATCTCTCAGAGAGCATTTTGTATTGTTTCTCTCTCCCACACAAGTATTGCAGGGTTTACTTGTTTACCTCCTTCAGATCCTGCACAACGGCCGTGAGCCTCTCATTTTCTGCTTGGACATTAGTGACCACAGCCCGGCTTTGTTTCAGTTCATTCTGCATCTCCAAGATCTTGCCCAGATAGTAAGCTTCCTTCGATGCAGACTCCTGCAGAAGCGTTTCCTCCCGAGTCTCTCCATCCTCAGCGACTTTACGATGGATGGAGAAGGACTGCCCAAATGCCTGTAGAGTATTTGGAAAGAAAAAAAGTGCATAATGAAATATACCACAGCACTCTTAAGCAGACATGGAAAATGCTTTGTTTGGCTTTGTGTATTTAAAAAAAAAAACAAAAAACAGCTAGGCTGAAAGACCTCCAGAAGAAAAATAATAATAACTAATAAAAAACATAGGTAGCAATCTAATAGCTCTAATTGGTGCCTGAAATCCTTTTTGAATAATTCAAATCCTTTTGAGGAAAAAGGGTGCTGGAGATAAACCCAAAGCTTCCTGAATGTTAAGCACATGCTTTACCATGGAGCTAAAGCTTCAGTCCCTTCAAAATCCAATTTTGAGGAGAAAAGAAAAAAATTTAAACATCTTGCAAAAATAGCTATGTGTTAAAGAAAAATTGAAAAACATTACTGGCTGTTTTATGTTATTTTTGTTCAGACAGATTCTATTGAAAAACACTTCAGTGTTAATCAGTCCATTAACATTCGTGTTGTCACCTTTGTTCCAGAAAAATATCCCACAGCTAGGCACAGTGGTGCACACCTGTAACCCCAGCAGCTCCGGGAGGCTTAGGCAAGAGGATCACAAGTCCAAAGCCAGCCTCAATAATTTGGCAAGACCCTAAGAAATTTAGCGAGATCCTGTCTCAAAGAAGTAAAAAACAAAAAGGGGGCTGGGGTTGTGGCTCAGAGGTGGAGTGCTTGCCTAGCACGTTTGAGGCCCTGGGTTCAATCCTCAGCACCACATAAAAATAAACAAAAAATAAAACTATTGTGTCCAACTCAAAAATAAATATTATAAAAAAGGGGGGCTGGGGATGTGGCTCAGTGGTTAAGCTTCTAGGTTCAGACCCCAGTAACCCCCCTCAAAAAAATCCCACAAATATTTCCCAGAAAGAAAATAATAGCTTCACTAGCTTTCTAATACATTAGCCTAATGTCAGACCAATTATGAACAAGTGCCCTTCAAAGAGAAAATCATCAAACAATATTCAAATGGCCCAGTACCACAAAGACATTGAAACGTAATCTCTGTAAGAAAACATGTATCTATTTATTTGTGCAGAAAGAAATCTAGGAGAATAAACTAGAAACTAAACAAGTTGGTTGTCTCCAGGGGATAGTGGGAATGGGGTGAAAAGACTGGGGGAATGAAATGTACTGCAGGGAAGAAGGGGTGCAATGGATTCTCTGGTTATGCCTTCTCAAATAGTCTGACTCCTAGAATGACAGTAATGCTTCACATGCCTCACAAATATACATTAGAAATCAACCTCTATGTGTTGTGGAAACCCAAAATAGAACACAAATAGTATAAGGACAAACCCAACTGTATTATAACTGAATAACAAAGTCACACCAGAAGGTATATGGAATAAAAATCAAAGCTTAGCATTTTAGAAAACAATATTTTTACTATATACTATGAGGTTAAAGACAACATGGACACTGAGGGCAGTGGTGCACACCTGTAATCCCCGTAGCTCAAGAGACTGAGGTAGGAGGTTTGTGAGTTCAAAGCCAGCCTCAGCAATTTTGCAAGACCCTAAGCAACTCGGTGAGACCCTGTGTCTAAATAAAATATGAAAAGGGTTGGGGTTGTGGCATGTGGCTCAGTGGTAAAGTACCCCTGGGTTCAATCCCTGGTACCAAAAAAATAAATAAATAAACAAATATATTTTTAAATTTAAATTAAAAAAAAGACAACATGGACTTCCTCAAAACACTATATAATCTAGCTGGTGAAGTTGTTTCTCATAGAGATTATGAAAGCAATGTTTCTCATTGTTGGAGAAAGGAGCCGCAAATAAGGAAGGGAGAAATTGAGAAGAAAACCAGTGGTGGAGGAAGTTATCAGGATAAACATGATTTAATAGGTAAATAAATATTCACAGATAGGGAGAGAGAAAGGCTTCTCAAAGGTGTGCATATTCACACACACACACTTCCCAGCTCTGTCAGCTGTGGGGCCCAGAAGCAATGGCATGCCAGTAGAAATAAGCACACCCAGCACCCAGATTTTGTTCCTCAATATCAATCTCCAATAAAAAGAGAAAGGATCTTTGGAAAAATTGGTCCTAGGGTTGGAGTACAATGAGCTTGGCATGTCTGTGATAGCCAAGAGTAATAAAATGCTTTTTAAAAAACAATGGGGAGGGCTGGGGTTGTGGCTCAGAGGTAGAACACTCACCTAGCATGCATGGGGCACTGGGTTCGATCCTCGGCATCACAGAAAATAAAGATATTGTGTCTACATATAATTTAAAATATATATATTTAAAAAAAAACAATGGGGAGGGGCTGGGGTTGTGGCTTGTCTATCATGTGCAATGCTCTGGGTTCGATCTTCAGCACCACATAAAAACAAATAAATAAAATAAAGGTTTTGTGTCCATCTACAACTAAAAAAAATTTTTTTAAAAAACAATGAGGAGACTGGCATGGCATCACACACCTGGAATTCCCACAACTCAGGAAGAAGGTCAGGAAGATCACAAGTTCATGGCCAGTCTGGGCAACTTAGTTAAGACCCTCTCTCAAAAAATATAAAAGAACTGGAGTATAGCTCAATGATGGAGTGCTTGCCTAGCATGTGCAAGGCCCTGAGTTCAATCCCCAGGACCACATCTTGAGATGTGGTCTCACACTGGGTTGAGAGCCTACATCTTGGGAGCAAATTTTTACCACTCCCACATCAAATACAGCACTAATCGGTAGGGTATACAAAGAACTAAAAAAGCTAACCACCAAAAAGACAAATAGCCCAATCAATAAATGGGCCAAGGAACTGAACAGGCACCTCTCAGAAGATGATATACAATCAATCAACAAATATATGAAAAAAATGTTCAATATCTCTAGCAATTAGGGAAATGCAAACCAAAACTATCTAAGATTTTATCTCACTTCAGTCAGAATGGCAGCCATTAAGAATACAAACAACAATAAATGTTGGCAAGGATGTAGGGGAAAGGACACACTCAAACATTGGTGGTGGGACTGCAAATTGGTGCAGCCAATATGGAAAGCAATATGGAGAATTCTTGGAAAACTAGAAATGAAACCACTATTTGACCCAGCTATCCCACTCCTTGGTCTATACCCAAAGGACTTAAAAACAGCATACTACAGGGACACAGCCATATCAATGTTTATAGCAGCACAATTCACAACAGCTAAACTGTGGAACCAAACTAGATGCTCTTCAGTAGATGAATGGATAAAAAAAAATGTGGTATATATACACAGTGGACTATTTTACTCAGCAATAAAAGAGAATAAAATCATGGCATTTGCAGGTAAATGGATGGAGCTGGAGAATATAATGCTACATGAAGTTTGCCAATCCCCCCAAAACAAAGGTTTTCTCTGATATAAGGAGGCTGATTCATAATAGGGTTGGGAGAGGGAACATGGAAGGATTAGACGAACTCTAGATAGGGCAAAGGGGTGGGAGGGGAAGAGAGGGAGCATGGGGGTAAAAAAATATGTTGGAATGAGATGGACATCATTACCCTAAGTATATATATATGAAGACATGAATGGTGTGAATATACCTTGTATATAACCAGAAATATGAAAAATTGTGCTCTATATGTGTAATATGAATTGTAATGCATTCTACTGTCATATACAACAAATTAGTATATATACTAAATTTATATATAGATATATTAATACCTTTAATTTTTAAATAAATATATATATAATTATTTTATTGTTCAAATCATTCCAAATCCATATACATATATATATATGGATTTGGAATGATTTGAACAATAAAATAATTATAATAATGCATTATAATCCACTGAAAAAACTAAAAATGCATGAGCACATATTGATATAATAACTGAATAAATGGTTATTATATCAATAGTTATTTCTTACAGTAGATTCTAATAATATGAAAGAAATGATAGAAATAAATTAAATCAGCATTTGGACAAACATCAAGTAATAACTAGTGTAGAAAAGAATCATTCAGGGGCTGAGGTTGTGGCTCAGTGGTAAAGCACTTGCCTAGCATGTGTGAGGCACTGAGTTCGATTCTCAGCACCACATACAAATAAACAAAATAAAGGTCCATCAACAACTAAAAAATATTTTTTAAAAAAAGAATCATTCAAATAACCTAAAATTTTGGGGAAAAGTATTATGAGAAATAAGGTATTTGCAAAATCTTAAAGTATCTCCCCTCAAGATACTTACTAATTCCAAATGGGAAAATAATAACTTTAAAGTGAAAAAGAATTGGGAGACACCACCTTAACTAAGTGATCAAAAGTTAGATCAACTATGAGACATAGATGTCACATACCCACTAATGTATGTTAAGAAGCACAACATCACAACATCATTGTGTTTGGAGGTGATGTTTGTTCAGGGGTATTCCTGCCCAAAAGCATAAGCCAATTCTTACCATAAAACATCAGACAAACCCAAAGAGGGAGACATTCTACAAAACTGTTGGCCAGTACTCTTCAATATTATGATGGTTATAAAAAATGGAGAAAGACTCATCCAGATTAGACGAGAACAAGAAGACATGACGAAGTGCTGGATGGGGTGCTGGACTGTTTATTCTGAACCTGAAAAAAGACGCTGCTAGAAACTATGGTCTATATACACAATGGAGTTTTACTGAGCCATAGAAGAACGAAATTAAGGCACTTGCTGGTAAATGGCTGGAACCAGAGAATATCATGCTAAGCGAAATAAGCTTGACTCAGAACAGCAAGGGTTTAATTTTTGTCTCATATACAGAAACTGGGGTGAGGGAGATTTTCAAAAGGCAGGAGTCTCACAAAAACAGGAGGGAGACCAACAGAGTAGAGAAAAGGGGATTGAGAGGAGAGGAAAAGGGAAGAGAATGGGAAATTACTGGGGAACAAAATCTATCATATGCTATGACCATGTACAAATATACTGCACTCTGTATTATAATTACGTAAACATGATTATATCATTAATAATAACTATATTATTTATATCATTAAAATGATTAAT